AGAAGAAGAAGAAGAAGAAGAAGAAGAAGAAGAAGAAGAAGAAGAAGAAGAGGAGGAGGAGAAAAAAAAAGTCAAGTAAAGCATTTGTCACCTAAAGGTAGACAATCAGGTAGATGTGCTGAAAACTATGTTCAGGAAGGTACCACATGCCATGGAACCAAATAAAAAGGCTTTAGATAAACCTCAGTGAAAGGGAAAACAGTAGGTCTTATTTAAAAGCAAGGAGGAATGCTGGATGCAAAGCAAACCTCCTTCAGAATTATCACTTACATATTGTATCAAAGCACAAGGAGGGCTATGTCACCCAGCCCCAGCCCAGACATGGCATGTTTCACTGACCTGTTCTTTAATGGCCACATGTACAATGCACCCATCTAGAACAAGTAAATGTTTTCATGTACAGCTGCTTTCACATAATCTAGAAATCTGCTTGCATAGGGTTATTGAGGGTTATGCATGTACAGGTAATTCTATGTTCAAAACCTTCTCTCTCTCAGCCACTTGAACTATATTCACAGCATTCAGGAAGTACAAGAAAAATAGATATTGAAATTCTTAGAAAGAGAATAGTTTGTGGTAACTCAACATATGAACTTCTGAAGAGGAATTTAGTCACAAAACTCCCCAGAGACCTCCTAATACATTATCTCTCATTCCAACCCATTTAGAGGTTATAAACACAGAAACTAAATTTGTTCACTGCTTTACCATTTCAATTGCGCTTTTCAGCTTGCCCATATGTGATTCAAATAAGAGGAAATGAGAGAAGAAGAAATCCTGGAAATTTCTCTGGGCCTCTTCTTTCTCAGGAAGGGTGAAAATGATGCTGATGGCAATTTTCTTCCTTCGAATCAATGCAGGATTGAGTCCACAGCTTTCATCTGCCATGCTGAACGTTTCTTCAATTGACCTATCAGAGAAGAAAGTTACATTATGTGTTCAGCTACCAACAAATGTTTGAAGTATTTTAGTTGATGCCTAGTGGGGTGATACCTTCAGAAAATCCATTCAGTCAAACAGAACTGGGTTCATATGTCATGATAAGCCATTATTTGTCTTAGACATGATCATTCAACAAGCCACAAAGACTAGATTCCACAAATCCTATTAAGCCAAAACTAAACAAATCACATTGTAGCTGGAACTATCTCAGCCCCGTGAACACTTCAGTCAATTTCAACGTTTCAGCTTATTTCATCCTATACCCTTTTCAATATCCTCAGCAGAATTATTTTCTTCTTTTTAATAGCAGGGAAGAAATGGTAACCTGATCCCCATTGCTCGCCTAATGAATGGTCAATGGGGAAAAAACAATGGGGCTCCTAGGATCGAGAGGAGGACAGCTGATGCCTTCTCCACTTCTCCTTTAAATAAATAACCTTTCTTAAGATAGAAACACAATTTAGATGTTTATATCAAGTTCACAAATAGAGGAGGATATTTTTTTCTTTTTCATTTTTTAGAACTCTTACCTATTCGCTCATACACACTATCAGTTTGTATCTTGAGACTACAGGAAAACATTTTACAGCAAGAAACATTTTATCATGATTGCCCTGGGGTCTATGTTGAATGTAGATCAAAATCATTTTAAAACCTTTGCAATTCTGTATATCTGATTATAACTGCCAATGGAAACCAATGAGACTTACACGTATTAAAATGAATGTTATTATTAAAAATACAGTGTAATCACAGTTTAAGAAGACATCAACATACTGTGATTTGCTTTAAAAGCTTATTCAAAAAAAAATTACTGCATTTTATATTTTCCTATAGACAGGCTTGCCTACTAAATTCCTCTAAACTGGTTATACAGCATTTTAATCTGCAATTCCTGATAGGATGATAAAAGCAGAGCTAAGACTCTTAACTTTGAACAAGGGATTTCAAATAAATTGATCCACAATGAATAGCAGTTCTACCTAAACAAGTGATATGACTGCAGTGAATACTGGTATTATTTCCCTGCTTTAATCAAGTTATTTTCAGTTGAGTTCAGACTTCTTCCACTAACTCATAGAAGATTCCAAGACAGCGTTTGCGTCTCAATACATGATTCAACTAATGACAGGCTAAACGTATTTCAATTGTGGGTTGAACCTACCAGGAATATAATAGCAAAACCTTCATAGTAATTAGGTGTTAAGTAATTAGATGTTAAGCACATGAAGCAACATGCAAATATATCTCAATAAAGGAATGTGGAGGTTTCTTCTAGTATTCAGGAAGCAATTAGTGGTATTTCTTCTCCAATTAGATAGTTCATAGAATCATAGGGTTGGAAAGGAGGTCTTTTGAGGTCTCATAATCTAATTACCTGCCCAGAGCAAGAATCTCATTTCATCCCAAACAGCTGTTCAACCTTTTCTTGAAAACCTTCAGTGATAGAGCATCTACAACCCCAGGAGGCAGGCTGTTTCACTGCTTAGTCACTCTTATGATCAGCAAATTCTTTCTTATTTTAAATCTGAATCTCCCTCTATAAAGCTTCCACCCAAGTTGTTTACCCCTTACATAAACTTAACCCCTTATGTATTTCATTCCTTATGTATCTTCAAACCCCTTAAATACATAAAGTTAACTCCTTATGTATTTCATTCCTTATGTATCTTTAAACCTGGTTGGTTTCCTGTGTGCCAGTCAAGCATTACCAACTAGTTTCAAGACGTAACAACTTCAATGACCAACTAGGTCATCTGAAGGTCTATTATTTAAATAATTCTGTTATTAACTGCACCCACTCGTCTCTATAACCAGAGCCTGGTAGTCACTGTCAACACATTTATCCACAGCATCTTGTGCTCAAGGCTACACTGACCCTAAATCGGTATAGTGAGAATACTTGCTGAAGCTCCAGAAGCATTGTATCCTCTGATCCTATTATAGGCTCTATCTTATCTAGATGAAGCTCTCCCACTATACAGTGGTCCAATTCCTTAAAAAATAGAAAGGCAGCTTTACACTACTGAACTACAATGACATAAACATATAGCGTATATTGAGGGGCTAAGAATTTCATCTTTTCCTCTGCCACCCTTTTCTTTCAGGATGGACTGCTCTTCAGAGTAAACCTGCACATTTTAGCCAATATATGTGAACCTTCATGAAAGCTCATTTAACAAGACAGATATGAAGGGGAAAGTTAAATGTATGGTAACTGTTAACTGTGTTGGTTTAGATCAATCCACATCTGTGAATGCCCATAACAGTTACATCTGTTTATTTTTTAGCCTGCAAATGTAAACTACATACATCTGCATTACAAGAATATATTTATGTTAACCTACCTTCTAGGTATGATGCCATTCTCCAAGCTTGTTGTTTGACTTCGAAGCCAGCGGCGTTGGTAACTAGTAGAAGAGGAGCTGGGAGATGGTAATGGAGTCATCAAAAGACTACTCAAGGATGCTGTCAACAAAGCAAAAAGATGTCAGTATTTTCAGACTGTAATTTCTTCTGACCTTGAAGGAGTTTGACCCACACTCTATTATAGATAGCCTATAATATATATATATATATATATTTTTACAGGCTGAAAATAAGAGACGGACAGACAGAAAGAACTGATTACTTATCTATAAATGCAGTTCTTTGAGTGGATTCTGTGAATTTATGCACATGGATTAGGCACCAGGGACTAAACATCCAGGAAATATAGCAAAGTTTCTGAAAGAATTCAAGGTCTAAAATATAGCCAATATTATATCCTGATTTAAATGAAAACTAGGGAAGGGAGGAAATATTTTAATGGAGGACTACTTTGTCATTATGAAAAATGATAGGCAATCTCTTCAAAAGGCACACAGCCAATGTTACAGCTACCAAAACAGCTATTTCTATGAAAGGAGTTGAATAAGAGCCCTCATCAGGAGCTCAAACACTCTTGGCATCAGCATAGGGAAAACAAGGGAGATGTTCCATGCTGGAAGTGGAAGTTAATTTGGAGGATAGAAATCTGTTAGGCCATTCATAAAGTGCTTAATGAAGGGGTGGAAAAAAGAGAATTCCTCAAGAAATTAAGACATACTGAAGCCCACCTTCACTCTTGGGACCAGGAAATATCTATAGAAAAAGGCAGGAATAAGGAACATACTCAATTGCCTCTTTTTGCTGCAGGAGGTCATTTCTTGACAGCACTGAAGGTATCTTAGAATCTAGCAAGCAGATTGGTGTAGGTTAGACCAACATTCAGGGCAGTAACTCTGGGAAAACATCAAAAGAATCTAGAAGTTATAGAGGACCACATACCTTGAAAATAATGGAGGTGATCCTGAACTATTGGTACTGGGAGCACATCAAGGCCAGCAGTGCTGCTCTGACCCTTCAGGTTTGTGCAATGACAGTGTCACAATGGAAAAAGAGCCATGGAGATAGGGCAGTAAACCCTCTCCATTTCAAATATATACACCTGATGTATTTGGTTGAAGCAAAACCACAAGTAGTACTGAAAAGAAACTAAGTTGCTATAGAGTTCACTTGTAGTCTGTTGAGCAAAGCTTATGAACCCTATCCAGTCTTATTGCTAAACAGAATATCCTCATAAAAGGAAGATCTTCTATACTTGTCTTGGCTTCTTGAAAGACCAGTAGAACAGAGCCATATGTGGTGATACAAGTTAATAGAGAAATGTAACTCTGAGTACTGAACTGGTTGCATGACAAACTGACTTTAATTTTTGCTTGGCAAAAAAGTTGCTTCTATCTGAAAGACATGGACTATTTACCTCTTGTCTTCTGGCAAATGAAAGAGAATTTTTGCTTAGCAAAAAAGTTGCTTCTATCTGAAAGACATGGACTATTTACCTCTTGTCTTCTGGCAAATGAAAGAGAAGAGAGACCTTCTCCCACAGAAACTGATGGTATGCCATTCAAGATTCACAATTTGCGATGTGGAGGGAATGAGGTCCTGAAGAATAAAGTTTGTATCCAAGAGTCTAATCTGCAACTCTCTTTATCTGCTGGTGCACAGTACTGTTGATGATGAGAACCAGATTGTGATGTTTCAGTTATAATGGTGTACAGAGTGCAGTGCTGAAATAAAAAGAGGTATTCCCCTTCTTTCACTATACAGAGTCTCTCAATGCAGTAAGAAGTCAATGGCACCCAGCCTCTTTTTTGTGAGTAGAGAGGATTTTGATCAGTGTCTCAAAACAACAAATAAGTCTCCTGCCAGTCCTGGGATATAATCTCAAGCTTAGAATTAGGGAGCTGCAATAGCTTTAAAGTCAGCTGTCTTTAGAGCTCATTGCCAGAGTGATTTGCAAACAGGAAGAGTGACTGGAGCAAGTCTGCTTGGTAAATGGCGGACAGTCCTTTATGTCCATTCGAAGATTGAATTTGCTCCTGCAAAGTAGGCACTTGCAAAATGAGACTCTTTAGGGTCCATCAGGCCAAAGGTCAAATTCCTGCAACGAGGGGGGAAAAACCCAACTCCTTGCAGATCCAGAAGACTTAATAATAAGAACAGTAATGTTTAAAAAAGGAAAAAGAATAGTAGTAGCAAGACACCTAGCATTAAAAAAAGAAATGGGAATAAGAGAATCTCAACAAGCACAAGGATGAATGTGCTATTGCTGTGACAGTCTGAAACAGATTCCATGGAGGTCAGCAGTACTTGTGCCTTTCTGCATTGTACGTATGGATGGAGATCCTGTCAAACACTCTTAAGTTCTAAAAGGTTTTGAAAGGGTCTTGCACAGATTATGCATAACCCATATGTGTGAATCAGAGACCATAATAAAAACAAGAAACAAATAACCCCTCCCCAAAGTTTCATTTTAAGTACAGCTGCAATATAGAAACTCATCACAACAAATTAATAGCTTTTTAATGTCAATATTGCATTTATACAAGAAAAGAGTTATTCTTATTTAACTATTCAGTTATCTTGTTGTGGTAATTTAAAACCCTTCATGGCACAGGACGAGGTTATGTGAGGAGCTGTCTTGCCCCGTTATATCCGCCCACCCCAATCAGTCTGGCAGAAGGGGCATGTTGCAGACCTCACCAGGCAAAGAATTTCAGCTGGCGGGGTCTAAGAAGAGGGCCTTTTCTGCCATGGCCCCCACCCTGTAGAACTGCTTACCACCTGAGGTACAGCCGCCCCGCTTTCCTGGCCTTTGGAAAAAGTGTGAAAACCTAGCTATGCCAATGGCCTGGGGGCCTGATGGGTTCACACTGGTGGAATTGGCTGGTGGAATGATCAATACTGCTCTCCCCCATCTTCTTGAATTGTATATAGGTTTTTTATATAGAATTATTAGTTATTTTAATATGGATATTTATATTTTTATTGTTTTTATTGTTTTGGATTTTAATTGTAAGACACCCAGAATCAACCTCTGGGGAAGACAGGTGGCATATAAATTAAACCAACCAACCAACAAACAAACAAATAAATTCTGGGAGTTATAGTAAGTTAGTAACAATTAAACCTATATGCATTGCAGTAAGAGGAGAAAATTACTATAAAGATAACGTACAACCCTATTTTGCCTTATGCTGAAAATTTTCTCTTATAGTAACTAAGAACCTGAAGGTGGCATGGTGATGACACATTTATCTTAAAATCAGTAACTTGGGAATAGCAATAAATCAAGATTGGCAAGTATCAACAATGAGTTTGGAAGGTATTTAATAGTGGACATAAATAAAAAAATCAAGATTTTTTTTGTCTATTAACAAAGTGATGAGCAAATATTTCCATTTCTAACTATATTATCAGTATTCAGAGGAAGAAATGTATGAGTTTCATTTCAAATAAAACTAAATCTGGATGTACTGGGTAATATTTCATTACAATGTTTTTAATTATATAGCTGAAAGGAACAAAGAAAAGGATAACTACCTGATCGAGCAATGCCACTGTCTCTGTCTTCATTCTGACCCCGACTGGGCATGTCAACAGGTGTGCTGTGTGCTGAATTGTTAAAAATAGCAAGGTTAAAGCAGGTGTCCTAGTTATTTGTTTTCCAAAGTGACTTCCTACTAGCAGTTGGATTCAAGAGTATTATTTTTAAAGCTCCAGAACAATGGTTCAGGCTGATCTATTAAGTAGCTAAAAATACATGAAAAGTTATTTACAATAGTAAGAAGAGGTATTTGAAACAACATCATATTTATTATGTTCACACATTATCCTAGGCCATGGTTTACTTAGCCAGGATTAATTGAATAAACCACAACTGGCTGCATTTCCATAACTATGCTATAACCCAGAGTTAACAAACAACAATGGCAGGGTCTGCACATCACATTAAGCAAAAACCAAACAAACTATATTATGACTTAGTATAATGTATGAACCCAACAATTGTTTTAAAGTATTCCATATGGTTCTTTTATCCAAACCATAAATTGAGGGGCAGGGACTAAAACTCTGTTCAAGAGTCATCTTTCTCCCTGCAGCATCAAATTACAGTATTTGTGCTCTGTTGACTTGCTTCAATAACCTTTTCCTTCCTTATGGGTAGAAAGGAAGAAAACAAACACAGAATTACTAATTTCAATGCCTATGGTCTCTCAAAGTTGTTTGGAGTAATTGGGGGGCATTCACCTCCAGTGAATTTCAAATTTCACAATTGCTTTGACAGTGTAAACCATGCAAATTTCATATACCAGGTATCCTCAGATATATTTTCATGGAATGATCATTAAGCATGGGAATCTGGCTACTAGTCATGGTGGCAATATATTACTTTTACTATTGTCTCACAATAGGGAATATCAGCAGGAAAGCGCAATTGTACTTATCTACGTAGCCTACACTTTGGCATTTGTGGTTAACTACTGCAGGAATAGTCTTTGGTCTGATCCAACACAACTGAAACATGCATCTCCCTTGTTGTCAGCCACATTTTAGAACAACAAACATACACCACTTTCAGGATTCACTGAGTTTTTGGTACATAACATGAAAGCATGGCCCTTAAGGCAAAACATCATCACTGTTTTTTTGCTACTTTCTGCCTTGTTCAACATTTGCAAATATAACTTATGTGAACATCACTCCTTGTTACAAAACTGCCAAACATTTTATTTGCAACAATTAACATTACAAAACACTGTGAAAATATTTTTTTAAAAACTTAAAAACAAAACAGAACAAAAGGATAGCTAATTTTCAAAAGCCACAAACAACTGGATTTGTTCTGTTAATGGTCAATCCCTTTAAAAACAAAAAACAAAAACAAAACACCATAAATTCTGGGCTGAGAATCAACAGAGAGAAAACAGCTTTAGGTACACGACTCTGGATTTCTGCTTCTGATGAGGATAATACATTGATTTTGCATAAATACAATGGTAGGCTGAACATACTTTAAATTTGCTTTCATATAATATTGAACTCGAAAACCTATCAGTGCAGACATTTATCCAAAAGTTCATACTTAGAATCAATTACTCTGTTCAATTTATCAACTTATCTACAAGGAATACTGTTTGGAAGGAATTGTGACAATTTGCACTGTTCTATAAATACTTTAATGTGGTGTTTTTAATAAATAATTTCTCTGAAAATCCTTATGCTTTTACAAAAGTTGCAAGGTTGAAAAATATAATTAAAACTGAAAACAAAGGCACTACGGTACTTAAAAGAATTAAGATATTTCTTATAGCATAACCTTTCATGTAAGGGTTTGTATGTAACTTTTTATTTATAACCTACGAAACATTTTTGTGCAGAGAAAATTATTTAAATTAAGTTCAACATTCTAGATAATGTAGAATGATAGCACACATTCACTCAACAACTATTTTCAAACGGCTTGTGGTTCAGTAATTAATGCTAGCAGAGCAGCAAGTTGCAACAGCATATGAAAGTAATATTCATATAAGTATAAACCAATATTAAAGAGATTACTCTGATTTAGAGAGCATGTAAGATTTCTGATCCTTCTAAGATTAAGTCATGCTTCTATGATATAGTTCATCCACTTTCAAAACGTTATTCTTTATTAAATTCACTTGAGCTCATCCAGTGATTTTTTTTTAATCTGAAGCAAGGCAGTGGGAATCACAGAGAAAGAAAGTGAGGCAAATAAATACACTAGCATTATTATATGTGCAAGAAAGAACAACTTCAAAAGATTAACCTGGAAAAAATGACTCCTCTCAAAACTGGAAAGGTACAATTATTAGCACCAAAGATGTGCTATTTCACAGAAAAATACTACTGATGAAACAATTCAGTTAACACAGCCCAATATTTTAAGATGTTAATCATTAGAGGCACTCATTTGTAATTTTATTCAATAATAAAAATGAGGATCAATTAGGCCATTCTACTTATAGAGAGCAGTTATTGATCCGATGGCAACAGATATTACAGCATCTCAAAGTATAGATAGTTTCATCATGCTGTACTCAACATTGCACACAAACTTGCAAAGAAAGAAGCACTCTGGATGAGCCAGAAAGGCCCTCCTTCAGGTATACCATGCAGCAACTTGTTGCTACATGGCTGTGACACACCTAAAGAGAGCAATATGGGAAATATACAGATCAAGGATTAGACGAGCCTGCAATGTGAGGAACTAGCTGAAGGCTATGATCCATGCAGACACCCCTGCACAATTGCTAATTTTAGTTCAATATATTTACCTAGATTACTTCCATTCCGACAATGGCCCAAACCATTTGGATGTAAATTCAGCCTTGATGGATCTTGATTGATGTATTCAAAACTACCTTGCAAGCTTGAAAAAGAAAAGTCCATCCAAGAAAGGTATTAAAAATTCATCAAAACTTAAATTGCCAAAGAAAATTTTTCTCCACTAATCCTAATTAGAAAAATAGATGGCTTTGCAAGATTTCTATTATCCAGATTACCACCTCCACATTCCCCTATGTGAAAAATAAAAATAAAAATCTAAGCAACAGTATCAATTGTGTGCAAAGACCATTCTTACTGTACTTTATCTAAATTTAGTATTTTTTACCTGGAGTTCTCTACTATAAGATATGGGCTAAATCCTCTCAATTTATTATTGATCCATGTGGAATGGCACAGTTGCTTAGTGGAAATAAATCAAAAACTGTCTAAGCAAAGAATGCAGTGGTTGATTTTGGCTCAAACACAGCCATATAAATATCTCACAGGTTTTTTTCCCCTACCTGTTTCTTTTGGATTCAGCTGATTCTCAAAGCCTAATTTTAATCCTCTGTGTTTCTTTATCTGGGAGGTCTATAATTAAAAATGAATTCTCATGCTGCTCATGTTGCATTAGAAGAGTGTATTTCTCATATAATATTAGAAAATGTTGTGATAAGTAGCAGTTCCTGATTTAAGATATGAAGCTAAATATGAGGCAAGAAGCTAAACTGCAAAAGAAGAATGCAAATAGCTTTACTGTTGACATACCAATTCACAAGTTTAACTTTCTTTAAAGCAACAGATCACGAAACTATTGCCATCATTAATTGTTGCAATTACAGCAGACAACCTTCTAGTGAGCAATGCAAGTATGCATCTAGAATCCTATACCTGGAACCATTATTATATTATTCCTGCACAACACATTTCTGTCAGGTAGAAGGACAGGCTTCCTCTTGGTGTACTTCCTAGGAAGCAGAGGGAAACAGAGGTGGGCCCGTCTCCTTCTTCCTAAAGCCCCCTTTTCTTGAAGTTCAATTTGCTGCAGTCAAGAGAAGGCTGTTTCTTCCTTCAGACTGTTTCATGCTTCTCCATGCACAGAGAAAGGGTCTGTTTCTTTCTCTCTATAAAAGAACAATCTGAAGTGAGGGTCAAACAGAGGAAAGCCTCAGCAGGTGGATCTTATCTGGCCAACACACTGGAGATTTCCCTCTCTGGTTTAAAGGAGAACAGAAAGGGCAAGAAGCAAAGAGAAAGAACAAGAATCTGTTTTTCTACTCTGTATAATAAATCTGAATTGTAACCATGAACCTACACTAGACAGTTCATACAAAGGTTGTTTGAAAACTACCATTTAAAATTAGGATGGCCTCACACTATGTGGGGGAGTAAAAATATGTCTGCCCAATCTCTCCCCCCTCTTCATGTTCTTGTCATCTATTGACTTCTAAGGGCAAAGTCTGTGATAAGGGGGAGATTTAGAACTCTAATTATACAGGATTCGAGGCTGCATGGGGATATGCAGTGCACATTAATGCCAGGCAGAGAAATTCTACAGCATTTATTGTTACCCACTCTCAGATAATTTGATGGATAATAATTTGTGTGTTTTTTAAGGAGGACATATCAAATAAATTCTCATGTGTGGAATACACTGCTCTTGCACACCTTGTGAGTTGCAAGGTTGGCAAAAGAGAATGTTTATCTTTTACTGGAATTTTATAGTTTATATTATTTATTACATTTTAAAGTCTATACTACCCTGATGGTTAATTTTAATCCCTTTTCTCTTTTGTCACACATGTATAACTGGAGCAAGCCCCTTAGCATTCTCTGTTTTTAATGTTGTTTTTAGCCAAAGTTTTTTGTGTGTATTTTGTCTAATTCTGATATTGTCAATTCAGCTTCAGATATTTGCATATCTATTTCCTCTGTGCTGGTTAATGATCGCAATAAAGTCTTTCACTTTCAGTCTTTCACTGGGCAATCTCTACAGCAACGTAGAGCTAGCTCCTCTAATTTCCCATGCTTCCACAATGATCAAGAAAGCGCTTTATTATTTATTTTTATTTATTTGATTTGTATAGCTGTCCACCTCACCTAAGTAACTCTGGGCAGCTCACAATAATTAAAAAACAAACAAACTTAAGTACAAGTTAAAAACAAATATATAAACATATAAAAACCAATCAAACCAAATTAAAATAAAAATTAACCATAATCAGCAGGAGAACCCATCACTAAGTCCCATTCAACGCAACCACGGTAGAAGCTCTCCACTATTACCAGACCCCAGGTGCAATGGCTAAGCTGTGTCTTCAGGGCCTTCCTAAAGGCCAGGAGGGTTGGGGACAATCTAAGGTCTATATGTTGTTGTTCAGTCGTTAAGTCGTGTCTGACTCTTCGTGACCCCATGAACCGTATCGTGCCAGGCCTTCCTGTCCTTCACTGCCTCCTGGAGTTTGTTCAATTTCATGCTCATTGCTTCAGTGATGCTATCTAACCTTCTCATCCTCTGCTGTCCCCTTCTCCTTTTGCCTTCAATCTTTTCCAGCATCAGGGTCTTTTCCAAAGAGTCCTC